AATAATAAATATTTAAAAATGGAGATGTCTTTACTAATATTGCTATGAATTCGAAGAAACTTTCTTCGTCTTTTAGGAAATTTAAATACCATTGAAACATCTTATCACAATATCAACAAAAAAAAAATGTAAACTTTTGGGTTATTCGGAATCCAATTTTACAACCCATCGTAACTTTTTTCCAGCTTCTTTTCGTTGAAGTGTGTTATATAGATAAATTTAAAGGGCATCGAGCGGAAAACTTTAGCTAAGTTTCATTGAAATCTATACATTCGTTAGTCTATAGCAACGCAGGTTTTTCGGCCGCCATCTAGAATGGAAAGGCGGATAGTAATGTTAATGAAGGAGGATCATCCTTAGGTGACCACTGACTTTAAATCCAAATTCTAAAAATAATCGCTCCAGTTGTTCACAAAAAAAATTATTCGTTTTTCGAATTCTACGTTTCCTGATACACAAGACCTCAAATATTGAGAGGGGGATAAGTTTTTGAATTTTTTGTTCGATTACAATGGTTCATTATTGAACATAACAAACCAAAAATCATTCATAACTTTACAATGTTTACATAAAATGAAAAACTTTGTTGCACAACTAAATGTTTAGCTACTAAATCTTAGCACTACTTTTCACTATAGGATTTTGGCAACAGAAAATGTTTTTGCGATACCTTTAGTCAATTATTGTTTTCTCTAGTTAAATCTAATAATTACTTTAGTATCAGATAGTTACACTCCTGCGATTTTCTGGTTATCGTTTTGAAAATGTCCACCAATTCTCGAAGGTGGTCACTAAGAGCGAAATTGGATGTTTCAGCTTCAAAGGAGATAAATTTCTCTAAGAACTTTTTAAGATAGAAAATTTCCAAGTAAGGGCATAATAGATTAAGTTAAATTAGGGAGTCTGCATTAGGTGATGAAACTTCCTCTTCCAACTTTTCTCCGCCCTGGAAAATTAAATCGAGGCATTACTATAATTGTTTCCTCTTCTTTCCGTGTGTTTCCTCTTCTTTTTTATTTTTTTTTTCTCTAACTTTTAAATTTTTCTTTTCAATTACTACAGCAAGAGCTTTTTAAAATCTTCCTGACTTGGTAAAAACTTCTGCTCGATTATAAGGAACACTTGTTACAAAATCGGCGGAACTTAAAAATATTGGATGCAGTAAAGGTTACAGTAACATGATAACGATAATACATGAGAAAGGGAATAAAATGCAAGACGCATGTTTAAGGGTGTTGTCCAATCATCAGTGTATTACTTAATGAATCTTTGGAACATAAAGATTAAAAGTCATGGAAAACAATAAAAAGATTCAGTTGGAGTGAGTGTATTAAATACAACATATACATAAGACAATCATTCGAATCTAATAATACTGGATATAAAAACAAATCTGGATGTATTTCAAATCCAATCTATACAAAAAATTTGGATTTAGAAAAATGATTTTTTTTTTTAATTGTGGGTTTATGGTTAACTGAAGTGAATAATTGAAATGAAGGATGATTGGGGTGATCAGTCAAATTGAAGTGGTAAAAAATGAATAATTTTATTTAATTTTACATTCGCCGACGTTTCGGCCCAAAGTTTAGACCTTCATCAGGGTTGGTAAAAGAACCGGATAACAATAGTTTCCTTCCTCCGCTATAATTGCGTTTGTCTGACTTTATCCCTTATACATCAGGTTTGTTTATTTTTATTGTCTTAGTTTTCTCCTTCTTTTTGTCCTTCCCGTCAATCTATTTCCTATATCTCCATCTCTATTTTCTATATATGATATATTTCCTCATACATTTTTTTATATTATATTTTCTGATAGATTTTACAATATCTTAATGTTTTATTTATATCTATTATTTCCTTACATAACTTCATATATCTTACCTCTGTTTTACACTTTATTCTAGATTACCATTTTCATTTCTTATTTTATCTTATATTTTATTATGTTCATTTCATTGGTTCGTACTTTGCTATAGTTATCAATTTGACTGATCACCCCAACCATCCTTCTTTTCAATTATTCACTGTAGTCAACCATAAACCCAAAATTAAAAAAAAAATCGTTTTTCTAAACTCACATTTTTTGTATAGATTGCATTTGAAATACATCCAGATTTCCAGATTGGGTTTATGGTTGACTGTAGTGAATAATTGAAGAGAAGGGTGGTTGGGGTGATCAGTCAAATTGAAGTGGTAAAAAATGAATAATTTTATTTATTTTTACATTCGACGACGTTTCGGTCCGAAGCTCAGGCCTTCATCAGGGCTGGAAAAAGAACCAGATAAAAATAGGTATAATACAATAACATTCAATAGTCATTGAATAATACAGAATCAAGATTAAAAAAGATGTTAGGTATGGACTAATAATTTTCACTAGAACAACTTAACGTAAAATGAAGTCGATATAACATAGAATTAAGAAATAAATAATAATAACTATAACAAAGTACGAACCAATGAAATGAACATAATAAAATATAAGATAAAATAAGAAATGAAAATGGTAATCTAGAATAAAGTGTAAAACAGAGGTAAGATATATGAAGTTATGTAAGGAAATAATAGATATAAATAAAACATTAAGATATTGTAAAATCTATCAGAAAATATAATATAAAAAAATGTATGAGGAAATATATCATATATAGAAAATAGAGATGGAGATATAGGAAATAGATTGACGGGAAGGACAAAAAAAAGGAGAAAACTAAGACAATAAAAATAAACAAACCTGATGTATAAGGGATAAAGTCAGACAAACGCAATTATAGCGGAGGAAGGAAACTATTGTTATCTGGTTCTTTTCCCAGCCCTGATGAAGGCCTGAGCTTCGGACCGAAACGTCGTCGAATGTAAAAATAAATAAAATTATTTATTTTTTACCATTTCAATTTGACTGACCACCCCAACCATCCTTCTTTTCAATTATTCACTATAGTCAACCATAAACCCACAATTAAAAAAAAATCGATTTTCTAAACCCAAATTTTTTGTATAGATTGCATATGAAATATATCCAGATTTGTTTCTATATCCAGTGTTATTAGATTCGAACGATTGTCTTATGTATATGTTGTATTTAATAGGATTTTTATCCTTCTCTTCGATTCTTTTTTTTTTTTTTTTTATTAACTTTTATTTCCAAGAAGTATAATATATACACTTAACAGATTTGGCATGTTCCATGTTTTCCAAGGGTAACTAAAAACGCCTTACATAACGATTTCTTGTACACAATAATTATCAGTGTTGTCTATATAAATGTGAAACTACTCTTCAAATGACAGTTTCTGCACCTTGATCAAGTGGTGACTTCATGTGTGTTTTTCTTTTTGGCTCGCCATCTGTACCTACACACCGGGGCAACAATAGTAATGCAGTATTATGCTAGCATCCATATATTTCAACAGCCATGATGCCACTGTTTTATTGAAAAAATATCTAGTTAGAATCTCTTCCCACACATTTCAACTGAAACTCCACAATTTTAAGAGGAAATTCAAATGTAAGTGGAGAAAGTATATTTTTGCGAGCAGTTTTTTTGTCAACTGAAGATATTTATTGTCTGGAATAGTGCCAAAAAATCAATCCACTACACCTTTGATGTTTTCTAAAATGACTTTTCTTTTTTCCAATGAAGTCGTTCAAAGCTAGCATCTTTAGAAAAACCGAAATTTTAAGTCCAACGAAGATTTATTTCTTGCCCTTAGCTTCACTTAATCTGGACAATTTCCTTATCAAGTATTTAAAAGTTTCTCCTACTGGTCCATAGCATCAACAAAGTTTTCCAATCACAGCTTGGTGTGTAGGAGAGAGACACAAATGGATTGAATAAACAAAGGCTCATTTAGGACATATTTTTTTAAACAAGTTAAAGTGTTTTTATTAGTCACATATCCTGTCAGATAATTGCAAAAATAATAACTATAACGACGTCTCAGAATAATGCAGCCAACATTACTGAAGTCAATTTCTAGCATACCAAAAATAATTAATTAAATAATAACTGCATAATTGCATCACAGATACATGTAATATTTTTTTCTTGATGATTTTCATATACAGTAGACAAACATATTTTAAAACTAACTGATTATGACAAAGAAAAATTTCCTTTGTTGATCAGTGAAATCAAAAGACTCTTTTTACTAACAACGACTGCGACCCATTTAGCCGTATTGATTCAAAATTTTGCCAATGCTCAAGAAGCCAAGTATTCAGAAAATCTATTATTTTAAGACTTAAGCATGTCTACTGTCCCAAGTTACATAATAACTCCATGAGTCGAAGACTTTAGTTGATAAGTGTAAATCAGAATAAAGACATGTATAAATAAATATTAAAATATCTTAATTTTTTTAAATAGGGTTGTTATTGCTTCATTTGTTTATTTATTATTAATAACCAACATAAACATTAAGCAGTTATACGTCTTGGTACAAGTACAAAATGTTGGACTCCACCATTTTATAATTATTTTCATTTTATCAACATATTAAAATTGTTAGAGCCATTTTAATATGTTTTAGTAAAATTGTATTTATAATACTAGTAAATATTATTATAATAGCTTGATGGAAGTACATATGCTGATCAAGGAACAAATAACATAATGATCACATGTGGGAGGAAATTGCAGATATTATAATGAGTGATTTTCGTATACTATGTTTTATGGAATATATATAATTATTTATTTCTTTTTTACGCCATAAAGTGCACTGAGGATTTTGAAGGACTTTCAATCAGAAAACATTAGTTAAAACTTCAAATATTTTTAAGTTTAACATAAAACTTCACACAGGAATGAAGTGTATTGCTATACCATAGATAACTTGAATGAAACTTTGAAAATTATTTAAGTATAACATGATGTAAAAGTAGTTTAAAACATTATTCATTTCAATAATTCTGTTAATAAAACAATTATAATTACCTCTAATACTTAAACTAGAAGCTATGCTCAAACAAAATAAAAATTTTAAAAAATTCACTTGGACATGTGACTTCTTCCCAGACGTTTTTCTTCTGTCTCAGTAAATGTGAGGTTGGTTTTTCTGGTTCAAGCTCAAAAAAACTATATCCATTTTCTAACCTCTAATTTAAATTTGTTTCAATATTCAAAGATTGTAATTTTATCACATGTTAAGAAGTAATAGAAAGTTTTCTTACCAGTAAAATTATATTTCTAAATTTTTGTCCCTCGTTAATTTTTTAAAAACTTTTGTAGTAGTTTTTCACGAGAAACTGGCTTCGTCATGTTTTGCAAAATGACTAAACAATTTTAGGCTAAAGTTCTTCTTCATACTTGAATTTGTAAGAATTTTTTTAGCAACATTTCAAGTTATTCACGATCATAAAACAAAATAAAGGATTAACTCAAAGAATTAATCAAAATTTCATAGAATATTGTCAAATTCAAAGATTGTCTATCGTTCAATACCTACAACCTTTTTTACACCTGTCACAGTCTGTCATTGAACGAAATTTGTTATCACAATCAATCAAAGAGCTCTAAAAGATCTGTTATCTTTTTAAAACCTTGTAGGCTTAGAATAAAATTATTTTACTTTAACTTCAGGTTGCTCTTGCAGACCTCGGGATCCTCCGAAATCAGAGGATCCTGATTAAAAGTCATTTCAAAAATTCCCGGTAAAGTTCTTTTTGACTCTTATTCGTTTTATAGCTTGTTTCGGGGTAAACCGTGATTGATATCAAAAGTATCTTAGATGCTACGGTATAAAACAAACTTATTTATAACAGACTTCGATAAACCTAAAATCTATTGAAAAAGTAAAAAATAAAATAATAAAATAAAAAAAAAATTAAATGAATATAAAAACCTGTACCACTACAACCTATGAAGGGTCTTCTTGGGTTCAGTACAAATTAGGGAAAGTACTGTTTCTTGGGCTACGGTTGTGTAAGGAGGTGAATTGACCGTGATCACTCTCAACAGCCAGGTTTGTCCCCTTAATCAATTATTTTAATTAACGGTATCCACTTTATAGAGGCTGGATGTGCCCTAGAAAGGTCTACCTACCCAGGGTCTTTCCACGGCCAGTGAAACAGAATAAATATTTTTTCTGCTAGGAGTCGGGATTCAAACCTGGGACCTTTAGCATTGGAATCTCAATACCCTACCACCGAGCTACTCCACTACCCATTGAAAAATTAAATTGAACATAAAAGCTCAATGAACTCTGGGCACTAAGAGTAATATAGAATAAAACTTTTTTGATATTTTTAAAAAAACAAAATATATCCAGGTATAGTCTATACTGGCAACACTAATTACCAATTGAAATAACTACATGCCAAGGTTCTTCTTAGTATAAGTTCGGGATTAGCTGTGTATTACTGTTTAACTATTAAACTGGAGAGATATTTTCCAGTGGAAAAAGCTTATCAATATTAATAAAATGTAAAGATACATTACAATACAGTTCATTCTCCCTAGATACGCCGACTTATTTTTTAATAAAGCTCCTAATTTTTTCTAGAACTTTTAATCTAGATTTCCTGATTTTGGAGGAGGCCACGGACTGTAGTGTCATCATGTAGTTATAGTGAAATAACTTTATTCGAAGCCAACAAAATAAATAGTTACTTTGACAATCGTGGCAAATAATAAAATTTCGTGGATTGTATGTATTGAATAGACTATCTTGATAATATTATATTGTAAATATGAATAAACATGTTGTGTTAATGAAGATTCTGAGTTATATTATTATTAATTTGTAAATTTAACAACAAAAATAAATCAATGTTCTGCTAAATTTAAAACATTTACAAGTCAGAAAAGGTCATATGAATAATAAAATGATGTTTTTTGGGGTAAAGATGCGTGGTACAGAACTCTTTTTATGATATTATTAACATTCGCCTAAAATTTCGTAAATAGCTACATCTCATCGTGACCTACAAATAACTTCGCATATTTAACTAGGTACTAAAAGCTCATGCATATCCATTTGCTTTTCACTTGAATCGTAAAATAATATTATCACAATACCGAAAAAACAATGTGACCTACAATAATATTGGGCTGTTTGGCCAATACGATTGACATTTTGGGGGTAAAGTTCGCGCTTAACGGCTCGATATTTTTGTAGGCCGCCTTTTTTTTTACGATTTTGTGATCATATTATCTTACGATTTAAGTGAAAAGCAAATTGTTATTCATGAGTTTTTAATACCAAATTCAATAGATGAAGTTAGTCGATCTCCAGATTACAACGACCCAGTTCCGAGAATGTTTGCAAATAAAATATTTGTTTGTTACGAAGAAATGAAGCTATTTATGAAGTTTTAAGCGGATGTTAACAATTTGATAAAATGTGGTCTGTGCCACGGATTATTGTGGAATCCTTCTCACAAACAAAGGACGTGTAACATTATCCCCTCTACCTCTCGGGTACCTTGGCTAGCCTAAAATAAATACCCTTTGGTATTCAGCCAAATTTATTAAACTTTATTTATTTACAACTTTATTCACCATACAATAAAATAACAGTATTTCTTTCTTTTTTTATTTTTTAAAAAAAAATTCACAATGTCTCTAAACAAAAAATAAATAAATACCATTAATAAATAAATTAAATAACTTAGGGATAAAACGAAATATAATTCAGTCTTCTGCAAGTGGCAGATAAGGAACTATTGTTACTCCTACATATAATTCAATAAATAGTTCACACAAATTCTGATCTTTTGTCTCTCCATTACTTTATCAATTTCCAGAGATCGTCTCCATTCTCCAGCACATTCTAGCTATTCCTGTTTTCTCTCTTTTCTTAATCTCTGCCATCAGTAACTGCCGCTGTTGATGTATAGTTAGAAATGGATTTCCTAGAGACAGTGGGAAATGTCTGGGATTGGTTTGCCTTTGCACTTGGATACCCATCCACTCCATGCATCGAATCCGTATTCGGCGTAAATTTCAATGGCACAGCTGATACTTTCATATACATTATCTCCAATCAAGTCTGTAAAACGAAGAATTCCGTGATAAAACATATAATTAATTGTAATATACCTTTTACATTATAATATTAAGAAAATAAGCATAAACATGTTTGGTTTATTATTTTCAATAATGAAACATTGTGATCGACCAAAAATTCAAAAACTTGACCCCTCTCAAAATTTGAGGTTTCACGTTTCAGGACGCGTAGAATTCGAAAAACGAATAAAAATTTTTTGTCCGTCTGCCGTCGCGCATTTTCTCCGAAACTACTGGACCGATTTTTTCAAATTTGATATAAAATCAGAGGTCACCCGAGGATGATCCTCCTTCATCGGCATTACTTCCGCCTTTAACTTTCAAAATGGCGGTCGAAAAACCTGCTTTGCTATAGACTGTAGCTCCTAAACGAATGTACAGATTTCAATGAAACTTCGCTAAAGTCATTTTCTGACGCCCTTTAAATGTATCTATATAACATACTTCAACGAAAAGAAGCTGGAAAAAAAGTTACGAGGATGGTAAAATTAAATTCCGAATAACTCGAAAAGTTTTTACTTTTTTGTTATATTGTATAGTTTTTAAAAGTTTACGAAATTTCCTAAAAAAAAAAAAAAATCGTTAAAATCGGACAATTAGGAGCAAAGATATGGTCTCCGTTTTTTTATATGTTCTACTCCAAATGTTATATCCTTGGTTTGGTTATTAAATTTTGAATGTGTTACTGAAGTAATGCTATTTTTTTTAGCATATTACTAATGATTAAAGAAAAACAGTTTAGTCCAATAATTGGAATCACTTTTGTTTATTTTTCTTTGTAACTAGGAAGGTAATGTTACTTTAGAAGTATAATTGTTTGGAAATAATAAACCATTGTGAAATAATTTGCAGCTTTTTTTTTTATGTAACATAACCTATATCAGGCGAACTATCCATTTCATCTCGAAAGACTTACTATACAAAATTAAAGCTGATAAAATTTGCAATATGATTGACTATACATCTTTTTCGCTACCTCCCTTTATTTCTGAGATATCCGTCCTTCACTATTGCTAATATGGAAAAAATAAATTGTTATCTCATGTTTTTTACTGTATTGCCTGGCTAATTTTATCAGCATTAATTTGTATATTATTTATTTTTATTTAATTCGTATAGAACTTTGTCTATGCCATGGATAGTTTTCCTGATAGAAGTTGAGAGTTTTAATATGTTTACCTACTTACTAGTCCAAACAATGTCCCAAAGTTTAAAATTTTGTCCCCGCCATTTCCTTCTGTACCCTCTTTTCGAGCAATTATCGGATGTACTAATAAGACTACTGAGGTGCCCAAGAGACTTGGTGTGAAATTATTTTTTTTTTTTTTTCATTTAGTTTTATGTATTTTTTCTTAATTATGTAGTATTCATACTCTTTCTTCCGTTTTTTCCCCTTTCTGATTAAACTAACACGTAAAGGTTATTCATAATGTTTTGATTTATCAGAAACTCCTTATTTTCCCCTTAACATTGGATCTACAGCTAAAAAGTCATAACTTGTCAAAGCATTTTTGTGATATAACAAAATTCATTCAGTGATTTAGTGAACAATAAATCCATTGATTTTAACTGTCTTATACAATTCTGAATTATTCTAAAAACATATAACATTTAAAAACTCTAATGATTTCAAACATATTCTTTTCCCAAGATATGTTCAACATTTGGTTTTTTCTTCATAAATGTATTACTTGCCTTTTTTCAGATAATTTATATAAAATTTCTAAGTATGTACATGTTTAGTAACACTTATCTACTGAGTAACCAAAAGAAATATAAAAGGAGCATACAATTGTTAGTACGAATTCATTTTGTTTTTTTACAGCTCTTTAAAGCAGTTAATAAATAAAATATAAGATTATATAATTATAAATAGCCTACCTTCGCAGTTAGCATTGCATTTTTTCCCCCTCCTTCCAATATCACACCAAATGTTACTTCCTATCTGAAAAGATAAAACAACATAAATCAATGATATTCTGATAACGCATTATCTAAGAATTGGGTTTAACAACACCTCATAACTCTAATATTATTTAAGATATGTGATTTATATCATTTTACTACCGTTTGTTTATTTAGTCATCGCTTAACTAGGTTCATATTTTTTAAATGATATGATAACTGCTTATTGGTAAACAAACATCAGGAACCATTTCATAACATTATTTTGAATCCCTTTTCAAATTAATAGATTTAAAAAATATATATATTTTTATTTTGTGACATCATAAATTATACTAATAAATATATCGGTCCAACGAGAATCCGTTGAAATAAGTTCCTATTCGTGAACGTTAAGGCATTTTTGAGAGACTTGTTGCTACTATCTCTAACGGCAACGTAAATGGGAGACAATCAACATTATACTTATGCTATCAGAATTATTTTCTGAATAATGATAGGTACCTCAACGAGGGATTTCGAGAAATCCCATCTTCACCTAGAGCTTTGTTGTTTTTAAGCTCATTCAAAGTATCCTACACATCATAGTAAGTGGGTGGATCGGGAATTTCTGTATCATCCTTACTACCAGGTATATACCAAATTTATTAGCATGCGCCCATTTTCGTCTGTTTCATCGTGGAGACCATACTTCTCTATGGTTGGTCCAAAAATTTTCTTTTACCCATTTTTGAGTTCAAGTCCCCCATGATGAACTTTTTATCGCTTCTCGGGCAACTATATGGAGTCTTGTCCAATTGGTCAAAGAATGCTTCCTTTTCGTCATCAGAAGAAACTTCAGTGGGAGCATAACAACTTAAAATAGAGTAGTTGCGGAATTTACCCTTCAATCTAATAATACAGATTCGTGGACTGACGGGAGCAAAGCCAACAATCAGATCTCTGGTACTTTAATTTGAAAAAAAAATGTAAATAGAAGAAAACGAGAAAGAAACTAATTCAGGTACCATTTGGTAGATGTGATAGAAAGAAGAGGAAGAGCTATGGTAGTAAAAGGGTTAATCCTTGACTTCAAATCTTAAAACACGTTTGTTTTTTGTTTTTTTTTTTAAGTTACACATGTGCCAAATATCTGAATTTCCATTCGAGAAAGTCTCACGTTATTGTCTGTTAGCCTTGAAATCAGGAAATCCCCAACAGACAAATCGGTCTTCTATCAAGTAGGAGATTAGTGGGGAGATATTGTGGTCGAGCTTAAATACTGACCGTAGCCAATTTTGGTTTGACCGCAAATTTACTTATTAGGCAAGGGTAATTTCTTATTAGGCATCGAACTCGCGATTTTTTAATTATTATTGCCGTAATTATCAATAAAGCTTTTTGAACTCAACATTGTTAGGATTTTAGTGATCATTCATTCACATTTTTAAAACCTCCTTATCGTTTTAAATTAAAATATAATTCAAGCTTCAACATGACCAAAGTTGTTAAAAGAGAATAATATGTTTTTACCACGAAAGCTTTATCTGTTGATGCACTTATTATACCAAGTAGTTGCATTCTAGGATTATTTCCGTAATTGATAAAGCTTAAGTTGGTTTGAAACTAAAAGGTAGTTCAGTAAACCTAGATTAGCTTGAAAAGCTTTTTTCTATTAGAAAATATTTAGAGAATTAGGATTAAAAGAACTGACCTGGAAGATACCGTATGTGTAGACACCTCCACCGTATGGTCCACCTCTTGCTGTTGTATTCCGGTTGCTTACTGCTTCAGCTAAACAAACCCCTGAAAAGTATATTCGTATCAATAAATAAAAATATATATATATTTTTAATGTTAAATATATTCCTAATTCCATTAATATTACAATTAATAATACGATTCATTAATACTGAATTAAACTTTGTAATGGCTCTACTAGATAATAAAATACAATTATTAACTAAGAACAAAATATTAAAGGATAATACATTATCCTTAACCGTCAATTCCTTTAAAAAGAAAAAGTTTTTATTCGTAATTTTCATCAAACTTACAAATATATGAAATATTTAGGTCTTAAGGTTATAAATAAGTAAGGTTGATGTACTGTTTTTTTATTTATTTTTAAATTTTAATTATTTATATAATCTTTTTTGAAAATTAATAATATAAGTTTCCACAATCAAGAGCAATAATTATTGACGTTTTAAGTATACATTCATACCATGGCATTCGGGCTAGTATGAAAGAAATGAAAAACAAAAACAACAATACTTTAATTAAAACATTAATTAATTAAAAATGTATCAGATAAAAAAAAAAAGAAACTATATAGCAATAACAGAATAGTTTATACACAACGCAAAGAAAACTAAATTTACTTTAAAATGAAATAATTCTATCTTGACATAAATCGTAACTATCGATTCCAAACTAGATAAGATGCCTTGTCATATAGAAAATATATTTTAGGAAATTACCAAGATTTGGTTAGTTTGTTGAGGTAAATTTCATTTTCCAATATTTTACGGCAATATTGAATGTATTCCAAAATGTCCATATGGTTAGGGACAAAATTGTACTTATGACTTGCTAAACTCGAACATATTTATTTTCAACACTTTATCAGTAAGTGAAAGGGGTATTATAATATTAATAGAAAATATAGTTCTAATATTTAATAGATTCTGTTTAGAAAAATATATGTAAGCAGCATAAAAAAATGTAAAAGTATGTCAGAGACAATGTAATCTGCCACATACCGTCAAAAGCAGAAGTATTCGTACATCATATCTGAAATATTGTATAAAAAGAATACTGCTATAAACAGGGGGTAATTTAAAATAATAAAATCATTTAATGATACCGTCGTTACTTTAATTAAAAACATATCATTTATCATATGATCCGCATAGTACTGTCATATGAATAAACAATTCAAAATAATTTGTAAACAACATGGGTTCAAAGTATTTTTATACTTCATTATTAAAATTTTGATTGTACTCTATTACTTAACACTTATTAGTCCGTGGTACAGACCACTTTTTATGAAATCATCCGTCTGAAATTTCGTGAATAGCTTCCTCTCATAGTCTCCTAGAAATATTTTATTTATGAAAACTCTTGAAATTTCGATGTTTTCAATCAGGACATCGACAAGCTTTGTCTATTTAATTATATGCTAAAAATCCGTAAATACCCATTTGCTTTCCCCTTGGATCGTAAGATTATTTGCCCACAAAATCAAGAAAAAAAAGGTGGCCTACAAAAATATTGGGCCCTGTGGCCTATATCACATCGTTATTTTGACATTTTGGGGGTGTAAGTCACGCCAAGCAGTTCAATATTTTTGAAGGCCACCTTTTTTCTCGATTTCGTACTCAAATTATCTTACGATCCAAGTGGAAAGCAAATGGGTATTTATGAGGTGGTAATACCTAATCAAATAGACAATGTCTGCCAATCTACAGATTGAAAACGCCAAAATTCCAAGAATTTCCGTAAAAAAAAAAAAAAAGTTGTAGATTACCATGAGATGAAGAAGCTATTTACGAAGTTTCAGCCGGATGTTAATGATTTCATAAAAAGGGGACTATACTATATGTCTGTGTAGGTGTGCATAGTATTCTTACAGTTGTGTATGTAGTTGAAATAGGGCGTAAATCAAGGGAAACTAGTAAGATAGAATTGAAAATTATGTCTTGTCAATGAGGGCCGAAGATTGTGGGAATTCGGAAAAGCAGTGTGAACGGACCGTATTCTACCGTAAAATACATTATTTATCAATATAGAACGCGAAAGACTTATATTTCTGATTCAAGAATGGGACATCTTATAAACAACACTCCCACAACCGGAATAATATAAAGGAAGGAATAATCTAAGAAAAGCGGAAAAAACAAGAATCAAAGTTAAACATTTATTTAAGGTTTTAGGTATCGTATTTAAAATTAAGATAATGTTACATGATAAAAAATACGTTGTAATATTAATGTTGATGTCAATATTCAATGGTTTTATTATTTTAAATTACCCTCTACCAATGATAGCAATATTTTTTTTTAAATATTTGTTTTAAAACTGGAGTACGAATAGTTTTGACCAGCGGTTGAACTTTATTAAAAAGTTCCATTTTAACAATTTCTGTGAAACTTTATAGGGGAAAATTAAGGCGTATTCTTTAGACCACACGATAGAAGTGAAAACATAACATCGACAAGGCGAGATTAATAATATGAAATATTTTTTTTTTTATTAAACGCATCTGCCGTTGGCTATTAGGCCATTCGGCTTCCGGCAGCCCAATACAACTCCGCCATGAATCCTATATAATATGAAATATAAATTATAAATAATAATTTATTTATTATTATAAAGACGATGGAATTTTCACTTCAAAAAGTTCTTATAATAAAAGTTTTAATGTAACTTTTTATAATAAATTTCCAAATTTATGTTAAAAGTTTAAGTTTTATTTATTCAAGCTCTTAAAACAAGTTCTGCTAAGAGAAAAATAACCGTCATTTAATTAAATTGAATGAATAACAAATGATTGTAATATGTCTTTTGTTTAAGTAGCTATGAATAAAAGTAATTTTTTATATCTTCTTTAAGAGAAATCCGCAGAACTCTTAGATATAGATTTTTTTTTTTTTTTTAATAAAAGTTCTGTAAAACCGTTACTTAGAAAGTCGAAAGGGAAAAATTTCAGGTTCAAAAAGAACTGGAAAACTATCAGCAATAAAAATTCTGGTGATACCAAAACGTTTTAAAAATTTTTTTTTTCCGCTTTAAGCCCTGCTTTTGACTCTATCTGTATGAGGTCGAACCATAACTTCTAATACCAGAAGAATCATTCAGAAAAACATTAGTATTTCTTAGATTTTTTTTTTAATTCTTAACTTGACTTAAAAGACCCTAAAGATCCCTAAAGATTAATTTTCTTTTATATTTAATTCTAAATCAGACTCACAGTGAGGTATTAGACTACGCCTGATTCCAGATTCCCTCAGATCTGTTGCTAGCCTGCAGCGAGAAATGATACTGGATTCCACGACGAATCCAGCAAACAGGACACAGACTAATATCTTGACCAACATCCTGCTAGAGGAAATGTACAACTAAACGCGGCTGCTGAGTCTATTTATCTTGATCATGGATGGGGAACTACAGGAGTCTGCAGTGACTGTTCATTCCCTCAACGTTTGTTTGTCGTAAATATTCTGTAGTTTTAATAGTGTTTTTTTGGGACAGTGAGATTCGTTAGTTTTCTGAGAAATAAAATCGGATAATCACTGTTTGTTTTTTTTACGCTGGTGATAAATACTAAACCATCTTGCTTTAGTTAAATGACTTTTATTTTCTTTACTCTTATTCACTACTCTTATCCAGTTGTGGATTAACGTTTTCTACCTTATCTGTAGTTGTCAGAGTCTTTTTGAAGCAATATCTGTTTAAATTATCACTAAAATGATTTTATTCCAAACAAAAATAATAAAAATACCTATTTGTTTTATTGATTATTACTTTATTGCCGCAAAATACGTAAAACATTTGCGTAAAATTTTTAAGGAACGTATTTGTCCCTATGTTAGCCTAAATAGATAATGGCACTTAGTTGGTATAATATATATTTTCTGATTCAAAAATACCAGACCAGGTTTTTTACTTTCCTGCCTATAATAGGTAAATAAATTATTGCAATCGGATCTAATTTCCGATATGCTGTTTTCGACGGATCTATACGTTTCAGAGCCCTCTGAATCCGAAAAACACATTTTTAGACATTGATCTCTCTGTCTGTGCCAAAATTTTCTCCGGAAATACTGAACCGATTTTGTTGCTTCTTTTTTTATTTTGTAGGGTTTTGACTACTGATGCCTGTGACAGAAATTCGGTGCTCCGTGCGCAATAGCTTGCTCGCAATAAATGAAAACACATTTTTCTATAGACTGTAGCACGAAAACGGCTCTAACGATTTTAATGAAACTTTTCTATAATATTCTAATCATTGTCCTTTTAATTTTCGGAAATAGACTAAATTCGCGAAAAAAAAAATCAGGAAAAAAGTTATAAAGAAAAGAAAAATGTTATGGGACCTAACTCCATAAGTATATATTATACGGTAAAATTTATAATAAAACATTTGAAAGGTAATTAAATTACGTTCATTTTGGAGAACTTTTAAGTTACAGCTATTCAATTTCCAATGTAAGATTACGGGTTCATATTCTGGTGTCAGAAAGCGGTGAATGAAAGAATAAAGATGACTAAGTGAAAGTAAAAAAATCTGTTGCCCGCATCACACCATCTTCACTATTTCCTCTACTTTTAACAGAAATTATTGCTTGACGATACTAAGCTATGGCAAAAAGTTTTTAATCAGCAAGATTAGAGAGTATTGAAACTTTTACATTGATCTACCTTAAGCCGGTTTACATTGCTTTAATTTATCAAATAAATCGTACTTTAATCTTTTCTTTGATTAATTTTCTGGAAAATAAATTTAGTTCAATTTTTTTGTGTTTATTCGTGAACTTATGTAAAGATATAAAAACTTTTCTGAAATATGTAGGAAAGTCGTGTGAGTGGACACACCAGATTTTTTTTTTTTTTATCTTTAACCAAAGCTTAACATGTAAGTACACGGGAGAGAGGAAAGAAGTGATTGGAGTGGTACAACCTGTTTCGTATCTGAATCTGTTTGAAAATATTAAGGATACAAACCACTAGGCTTACATTCATATGAAACACAACAAACGTCGATGAAAATCTAGGATACAGACTTAAACCGTCAAAGTATTTTTTTTTTATTATTATTTTCTAGTTTAATCAAGGAACAGCATTCGTGACATCAACTACATACAAGCATGCATTAATATATTAATGATATGTCTTAATTCAGTTGTATTAATGATGTTTCATCAATTGACTACATCGATAATGCAGTCAACGACTTAACAAAAGGTACAAGAGACTATTTGGCATTCCACGAGACCACCAATGACATACACTAAACCTGCTTCTTAACTAACTCAGCCAGTACATAATCTTATAAAACGAAAACGTAAGATTAGAGCCGTATGGCAAAGAATTAGATATCCATCATACAAAACAGAACTCAACAAACTAACTCAAAAAACTATCAATATTTCAAGGACAGCTATAAAGACTATATAGACACAATAAACCATTGAAATGGATCAGTATGGACAAGCGATGAAAAAGCTAATGAATTCGCTAAATATCTTGCACAGGTATTTGGAACAAACACAATACAGGACAATACTCTCACGATAGAAGATTAATTGACAACACCTTATCTCTACTAGATTTTTCTGTTCGTCCTTAGATTCCTCTGATTCTTCCTTCTTCCTCCAAAACATTGGTGTATCTCAAGGTAGGTTCTTAAGGCCAATTATCTATTCGGTATACACCTCTGATATCCCTGTACACATTAGCACCACTATCTACTCCTTCGCTGACGACACTGAAATCCTTTCTTCACAAAAAAACCTACTATCGCATTCATTGTCCTTTAAAACCACCTCCATGATCTTGGAAAGTGGTTTGAAAAATGGAAAATTAAAATAAATCGCAACAAATCCATTCACGTTGGTTTCTCTCTTAGGAAGTCTCATTCACACCCATAACGATTGACTAGTGTCTTCAAAGAACTATGTACGGTACCTGGGACTCTATTTAGACTAAAGACTAACTTGGAACATACATACGAAATTAAAAAGAAAAGAACTTACTAGACGTACATCGTACATTGGCTACATGCCAACTTTCACATCTTCTGGACTACCGAACTTCACATAACTTACGAAACAAGCAACTGACCTTCAACACCCTACTGAGACCAATATGGGCATATGAAGCAGAACTTTGGGGTCCGGCAAACAAACACACAAACAAAATACAAACAGTACAATAAAAAATTCTGCGAGAAATTGTTAACGCACCTTGGTCTATTTCAAATATACATAACGACGTAAACACCGAAACAGTAAAATCCTACATCCACGACAAATACATTACATTTCATTCTTCAACTAAAAATCACACCGATCCTCTGGTTTTTTCTATCTTCTGCTCCATATTACCTGAACGACGCAGATTACAAATGAAATGGCCAAGAGACCCTTCTATATTGGTAAAAACAAAATCAAGCAAATACAACAAATTTGCTAGATGCGCTGCCGCACAGGTCCGAATTGCAAGGAATATAAGTAAATAAATTAGTATTCCTAAAATTAATTACGTTCAAATATATTTGCATATCTGAATAAAATCTTTATTATTTTTAAAAGTGCAAACCGAAATAATAATTTAAAATTTAAACATTATAAACTAAAAAAATAATAATTATTCATTTATTCCTTTTTCATCAGATAAGTATAAAATAATTTATCATCTTTTCTTTTCCTCAAGTAACCGCTATACAGTGTAAAATAAATGAAAATTAATCTTCCTATTTAACAATGTTAGTTATTAAAGTTTATTTAACATATTAAATGCCAAAAGTGTTGATAAAAACTGATGTTATCTCAATGCGTTATGAAATAGCCTTATGGATTAGACTGATATAAGATTATAAATAACAGTTCTAGAGACTGACTCATGTTTGCATGATGTCAAATGAAAACGTGTCTTTTTAATTCAAAAAGTCCACGAACAGAGAACGGAGATCCGTGTTGCATCTACTTCGTCGAAAAGTTGTTACTCAATTGATTTAAATAAAAATATATTTTACAAAATACTACCGGTATTATTTTATTGTTAATACAGTATATAATATTTCTAAAATAGACCGCAAAAATATTCTTCCAATCGTAACAAAAAATAAAATATACGGAGATTCGAGGCGCAACCAAAAAATTGAATGAAAGACTGCGTTAGGCTGAAGCATAGGCACAAAGACATATGTATATATATATATATATATATATATATATATATATATATATATATATATATATATATATATATATATATATATATATATGTATAAACTAGCTTACAATAATATATAGACATTGGTAGTGAATCGGAGGGGTTGCGAATGCAAGAGGTGGATTGGATCAGTGAGAGTAGGGTGTAAGCTGCTTAGAGGTAACAAGATGAGGCAAAGGTACATTGGACACACAAACTCTCCCATTGCCCAATCCACATCCACTTCTTCAGGTAAACAGTTTAATTCACTGTTCCAACTTTATTTCAAAGTCATCAAAGTTTATTGAAAAAAAAAAAAGAAATAGACAATATATGATAAGTTAAAAACGCGCAATTTATTTACAGAGGTATAGTAACTCTATAAATATTTAGTTACTTAGTTAAAATTTAGGGTCCCATGTATGACAACAAAGGTTAGTGGCACCGTATTCTTGTTACATAATTGTTACTACGAGCCATATTCTTGTATTGATCATTCCGATTATGTAACTTTGAAAAAACAGCAAGATCCGTGAGTATTTTAATATGATGATAATATTTTTCCCGCCTTTTATGAGTAAGGCGGGGAAAAAGCAACAAAGGAATTCATATTAAAATTACGAAATTTGTATGAAATAAATGATTATTATGAAAATAATAAAACATTGTAAAATTTTACTTATTACATTTTTCTGATTAATTTTAATTTTGATCAGTTATTTCTTATTTAGATAAAGAAGTAGAAAATATAATTAATTTTGTAGTAACACTTAAATGGTTTTCTGCAAGCCACTTCAAATATCTCAAAATATAAAATTTATAAGTATAAATTATTAACAGCCATTAGGGAGGTAATGCGAACCGAGAAAGGGTTGGATCTGGGCGGGACAACATCCGTGCTGGGCTATGCTGATGATCTGGTACTGTTAAGCGAAGACGTTGAAACTATAAAACTAAATACGACAACGTTAATGAAAGCCGGGAAAGAACTAGGAGTCGAAATAAACGTGGATAAAACAAAATATATGGTTAGCTGGAAAAATGGCGATACTACTGGTGATATCGATATAGATGGTAATATGTTTGAACAGGTAGATAAATTTAGGTATCTAGGTTCAACGATAACTAGAAAAAACGAAATTGAAGAAGAGATTAAGGTTAGACTGAAGGCGGGAAATGCTTGTTATTTTTCTGTGACAAAACTACTTAGTTCGCGCCTCTTGTCCCGGAACTTAAAAATTAGAATCTATAAAACAATTATC